CCTCCTAACCAATCACTGACCGACAGTCTTCTTATGTCGCATTTTCAGGCCAACCAGTCACTTAGAACCACAGTGACATAAGTTCTGTAAAAGGTTCTGGTTCCACGAGTCCTTGCTAGTGGAAAAGCCTTGGAACTGTGGAGAGCCAAGTCGATCCATGCTGTAGAGACACTGGTGGAAAAAGGGCAATAGAGATACAAACCAACCCAACAGTCATGTTTTTGGTCTGTGGGAGAAAACCCACGCATGCAAAAAGAGAACATGCAAACTCTACCCAGAAAGGTCTCTGGATGGAATTTGATCCGACCACCTTCTTGCTGAGAGGCAGCAGCTCTACCAACTGAGCCAAGGTGCCAGCATTGGAAGAATCGCTTAATTTGTGAAGATTCAGACTATAATCTAGTATTTTAAACTTTTTTAGAGTATTTAAAATGCCCTAAACTCAGTTATTAAAAAAATTGAAAAATAAAACAAATTCGCTGGCTGTTGACCTGTTGTCACCACACAACCAGTTCTGGAACATAAATGAATTGGCGTAAAGCAACAAAACAAAACTAACTGGGCCGATTGAACCGGCCCCGTTCATGCTCCAACCACCTTTGCACACCAACAGAAATAATTATGAATCAAATCGGTTTGAATCAAAAATCAATTTTGAATCTAGTCATTACCCCAAAAGTCACGACTGAATCGAATCATGAGATCGTAAAAGATTCCCACCCCTACTTGATACTTTTTAGAAAAAAACAAAACAAACCCACCAGATCAGCACAAATGCCTGACATATGTTAGTAAGCACGCCAGTGGAGGTCTGATGATTTGGGGTTTATACAGGTTAGTCTAGTTGAAACACGATTGTCTCATTTGTAAGAGAGACCTGTTATACAGAAATAAAACAGTAAAATCAGTAATAAAATGTCCATCCATCCATTATCTATACCCACTACTTCCTTTCAGAGTCACAGCGGTCACTGGTGCCCATATCCAGTAGTCACAGTGCGAGGGGCGGGGTACACCCTGGACAGGTTGCAAGTCCATCACAGAATAATAAAACATATTAGTACAAAATAAACATAAAAGCGCATCAAAATAAATTCCAACGACAGCTACCCTAACTTTAAAAGTAACCAAATTCAGCAAATTAGGACCTTTGGCATTGAGCTCATCTCAAACTGAATAATACATGCAACAGCAAATTTGCAACAGAATCACCTAAATCCAGAGCAGAACCAGACTAAAATACTGCTGGGAGATCTTAGGCCAGTTATAAACAAATGCTGGAGAATTTTAAATGAAACTTTGAATTTAAAATAAGGTTATGGCGCTGTTGGTTTCTGTAAGTTAATGGATTATGGCTGTACTCAAGTGTATTACATTCTACTTCTTCATTTTGACTTGTTTTTATTAACTAATGTTGTGAAATGTTTTACGTTTTATCCACCTCATTTAGTACTAAATTATGAGAGTATTTTTTCTCTGTCTTTGTCACAGTGTCTAGCCCACGTCGAGGCTTTTATAGACTTCAGCGAGGATGAGCTCATTGAGGACGGGGTCTTAGACCGAGGTGTGTTTACATTCTGACATCTGTGCTAAAAAARTACAACAACAGGGTTTTAAATAGAACTGAGGACGTCTGCAGGCTTTGCTTTTTCTTCTTTTCCTTAGAGAAGAAAATTACAAATAACTGTTTTTGTCAGCAAGCTTTGCTGGGGAAAACCACAAAGCTCCTCAGAAGACTGCGTCTTAAGGAAGTGTGAAAAGAGCATTAATCTTGCCTTTAAAAATAATCTCAGGAACATTGTGTCGGCAGCACCTAAAATGCCCAAACATTCTCTAAGTGCCCAGTTTTCCCAGACTCCCCCTGTCTGYGTTTGAGCTGCAGAGGTACCTGTATCCTGCTGTCTGGACTTATCAGATCTCTTTAGAAGACTTAAAAATGGTTTGAAGAGTTAAAACAAAGAAGGAGCTGGAAACAGTTGTTTGGATTAAAGGCACAGAGGAGCAATTAATTATGGACTTGTTACCAAATAAATCAAAGTTGGCATAACGTCTATTTTTACCTGAAGACCTGCAAATCATTCTTGAATGTTTGTGATGGGAATAACTGTGGTTAAGTTAGACAAAAATGTCACGAAATTAACGTGTTTTCCTAAAGGAACAAACTATATTGTTTGCAAAACATTAAGCTTTACTCTCATTTTGAAATTTCCAGACATTTTTTTTTATTTCCCGTCAGTATCTTTATGTCTTTCCCCTCCAACAGTGGACAGCTGGGTGTGTGGTCTGCAGGCAGAGATGGAGGAGCACCTGAAAGATGAGAGGAGAGGGGAGAGGCTTCGCAGCGGCGTCCAGGTGGTCATCGCAGGAGCCACCAACGCAGGGAAAAGTAGCCTTCTCAACACACTCTGTAAGAGCCAAGAAATCAATTGGACACACACACAAACTTGTTTTTATAGCCTTGTGGGACCMRTCCATTGACTTCCATTCATTTTTTGGTAATTTTATATCCTAACCCTGACCACCAACCCTAAGGCTAACCTCACATGTACCTACCTGACCCTAAAACTAACCTAAACTCAATTCACACCTTGGTCCTAAACCCAACCCCCACACCCAAAATCAGCCTCCGAAGTTGTAGCACCCAGTCCCCA